ACACATATACTGATTATTTTACTGAATCCACCCCAAGACATTGTCTATGCTTTGAGTCTTGTACTTTGTTTTACAGGGAGAAGATTTTTGGAACAGCTACTGTCTTGCTTATAGACAGATGATAGATACATTTCTCATTATAAACTAAAGAAAATGGCACTTCAGTCTTTTACAGTGGATCTCTTAAGAATTAGTTCACTGCCGAAAAGGTTGGCAAAGTTGATCTTTAAGGGCTGCCAAAGGGGCTCCCAACCAGCATCTGACTTTTTTCTCAACTTGCATGAAAGGAATATGCAGCTGTTTATAGTGGTAGAGACACCAGGGAAGAATCTACAGGCATCTCAAGTCCACCATGTTCTGGTTTCACTTTCAGTCATGACACCGTTGTGCCTCAAGTTTTATTTATAATCATTTACCAACAGATTTTAGTGATCTGAATTCTATTTTTGTCACACTTCATGTTTCCCCTTAATGTTATGTATATGCTTAAATCTCTTATGTCCAGGAACAAAGCGTGAGTGTTTTAAAATAAAAATATTTATAGAGGATATTGACATTTATAATTGTAACCTACATTTAATTCTGAGTTGTAACTGATCCAAGTACAGTTTGCTGTTTAAAATGTCCTACAAAGGAGTGAGGGGTCCTCATATCAGATACTGCCCAGTGGGAACACAATGGGGTTTCAATGGGCTGGCTGGCTGTGTGAGCATCCATGGAAGCAAGCAGGAGCTGAAGGACTCAGGCAGGCAGGAGCTGGATTAGAGGACAAAAAGGTGGAATCCCTACCCTTTAGCTTTCCCCAAAGGACAGGGATAGAGATTCTAAATGAGAATAGAGAACGTTCTTTTCACTTGAGTTATTTAAGATAAGTGATCCGATGCCTATATACACCCACTTCTAAGTGCAGTCATCACGACCTTGCAACAGCATTTTCTCACCACTGTTATCAATCTTTGAGAAAATGAATTCATTATTCACAATGCGATATGTACATATCAGAGTGCCAGTTACATGAGAATATGGATGATAATAGGGAAAAGATCCTCCCCCACTCCCCAAATACGACATTTGGCTTTTTGTTTTGTTTTGTTTTGTTTGGGTTTGGTTTTTCGAGACAGGGTTTCTCTGTGTAGCAGTCCTGGCTGTCCTGGAACTCCCTCTGTAGACTAGGCTGACCTCACACTCACAGAGATCTACCTGCCTCTGCCTCCCAACTGCTGGGATTAAAGGCATGCACCATCACTGCCAGGCAAAATAGTATTTGGGGTTGTTTTTGTTCTTTTTGTTTGTTTGTTTTTGTTTGAGACAGGATTTCATGGGGTAGTCCTGGCTGTCCTGGAACTCACTTTGTAGACCAGCCTGGCTTCGAACTCACAGAGATCTGCCTGCCTCCCGAGTGCTGGGATTAAAGGTGTGTGCGACCATCGTCCAGTGTCATTTGGGTTTTTAATAGCTACTCCATTGACAATTACGTTTTGGATTCCTGGATTTTGAAAGCATAAATATAAAGAGGAAGTCGTCTTCTTCCTATAAATCCTTTGAAAATGGATATTTTGAATCTTAGTTTGTAAACTGCTATGCTCCAAAATTAGTAGGGCACTAGGGATATAGTTTGGGGGATGGAGTTTTGAGTGTGTCCTGTAGAGAAGAGACTATCACGATGATGTAATTGTTATGACTACTTTCTCAGGAAGTTCTATCTTCATATGTCTTATGCTGCTAAAACAGAAAGTATCAGAATGAGTAAGTCTTAAGGAAGAGAGACTTCTGTCTTGCAGTTTTGCAGTTTAGGAAATTCAAGTCCAAGAGGCTGTAAAGATGAATGCCTTCACTTTGCAATACTCCAAGGCAGATGGTAGAAATTCAGGGGGGCATGTGTGTGTGTGTGTGTGTGAGAGAGAGAGAGAGAGAGAGAGAGAGAGAGAGAGAGAGAGAGAGAGAGAGAGAGAGAGAGAGAGAGAGAGAGAGAGAGAGAGCAGAGAGAGAGAGACAGAGAGATAGAGAGAGAGAGAGAGAGAGAGAGAGAGAGAGAGAGAGAGAGAGAGAGAGAGAGAGAGAGAGGAGAAGGAGGAGGAGGAGAAGCAGCAGGGGTTGGGGGAGATTATGCTATGCAGGAAAGGGCATGAGAAAGGCAGACCACACCTTTACCAAAAAACAAAACAAAACAACACTAGCTAGTATTCCAGAGGTCCCAAGTTCAAATCCCATCAAGCACATGATGGCTCACAACTATCTGTAATGAGACCTGGTGCCCTCTACTGGCATGCAGACAGAACACTGTATATATAATAAATAAATAAATATTTTAAAAAAGGAACCCACTTTCACTAAACACCGTAAGTCCCTCATAACCTGATCACCTATGACAGGTTCCACCTCTAAACACTGTTGCATTGGAGATTAAGTTTCTACCATGTGAGCCTTTGTGGACACATTCACGTCTCAGTAGTTTCCAGAAGGAAATCTGATAGCTGCAGAAGTGCTGTATTAAGTATAAGGGCCCCAATGGTCTTACTCATCCCCTTCCCACTACCCTGAGCATAAGAAATCTTCCTTTCTCTCCTGCCAGGATTCCTACAGTGTCAGCAAACTTGACTCAGTAGTGACTGTGCCATGGAAGGTTTTCATGATTAGTCACATACAAATTCTCTCCGCCTTTATTTACCCTATGTGTTTCACTATGAGTAACAGGAACTGGCATGATGGCAATATTGGGGAAATGATAATCTAAGTTTATCTGGACTTCCTGCCCTTCCCCCAGTTGTCATCTGCCCTTACAATATCCCACTTGCCGTTGTTTCTCTTGCTTGGTTTGATCTTCTGTAATGGTTAAGATTTATGACTGACACTCCCAACCGCACCTCACCTCACCCACCCCACTCCACCCTACTCCTGCTATGCAATCTAGAAACTAAGGTGATAAATGACTGGGACTTCAAATCTGCCAATCATCACACGGCTTTGTTTCTTTTCTTTTCTTTCTTTTTTTTTTTTTTTTTGATTTTTTTTTGAGACAGGGTTTCTCTGTATTGTTTTGGCGGTTGTCCTGGAACTCACTCTGTAGACCAGGCTGGCCTCGAACTCAGAGAGATCTGCTTGCCTCTACCTCCCAAGTGCTGGGATTAAAGGCATGTGCCATCAATGCCCAGCCTGGCTTTGTTTCTAGAAGGGACTCTGTCACAAGCCAGTTTTGTCAACAGAGCGACATTTCCTTGAAGTATCAAGTTTGAGCTTTTGTGTAGATCCAAGTTTCTGACAATATATCTACATCTGTGACTGTGGTTCCAGATATTTTTCTGGAATGGTATTCTATGGCTGTATTCATCTGTGCATTGCTGCATGAATATTAGAAAGCATGAATATTTGAAAGTTAAAGGTCCCAGGAAGGTTTAAAATGTAGAAATGCACTTGATGTTTTGGATAACACTCAGAGTTCCCTAGGGAGCTAAGTGAAGGAGTCACTAATTGAACTTTCTGGGGGTGTGGAACGCAAGTCCATTCCCCTTTATCCCTAATATTATATGCTATGACTACAAAGGGCAATGGGGGCAGGGTCCCTTCTTTTCTGGCATGAAGGGCCAAATAGAAAAGAGCCATGAATAAATGAATATAGGAGGGTGTAGAGGTTTGTTCAGATCAAAATGGTCTCAGGGCTGGGGAGACAGAGGCTCAACTGATAAAGTGTCTGTAGCGGAAGTGTGGAGACCTTGACATTGGTTCTCCAGCTCCTAAGTATAAATGCAGTGAAGCAGAACACCTCCCTGCGTAGCTCCTGTACTGGGGTGGGTAGAGACAGAGTTACGAAGTGCCTTGTCCTAGTAACCAATGAGCTTCCGGTTCGGTATTATTTGGGGAACTAATCCTAAATTTGATCTGCTACACTAGATATTGGCGTTAACAATGCACCAAAATTAATGTTTATATAGTTATAGAGTAAATTCATATGTTAGTGAAAATCAGAAAGATATTTTAGTGGGATAAGGTCCTGGTCACTTATTACATTGCATTTAATAAAGATTTTTAAGGAATTATCTTTCTAATAAACTTGGGACTGTTTTATTTAGGGGTCAAAGAAGAGGCAGGAAAGACCCAAGACCCAGATTGTTTCCTCAGAGCAACCTACCTCAATAGATCCCAGAACCCTGATTTAATACCTGGGGAAGGCTCCATTTGTTAGTCCCAGAGACAGTGGAATGTGCTGCTTTCACAAGCAGGCCCCTGTGGGATTTTCTTTGTCAACTGCCCAGAACCCAGAAACTGACTTAGAGTGGAATTGTTGCTCTAGCTCATTTCTCAGAAGAATGGAACCACAGAGTTCACCTTAAAAACAAACCAGGCTATCAAACCTGGTAACTGTGTCATGACTGAATACAATAGGGGCAGTCAGGAGCAACTCCCCAGAGTTTCTTCCTTCTTCTTTTTTTTTTTTTTCTTTTTCCTTTTCACACAAAGCAGTCAAGATAAACCCTGAATGGTCTTACCCTAACAAGCAAAGCCACCTCTCCTTTAATTCTTGAAAGTGACAGCTACTTAAGAGAGCTTCTCCTCCTGATTTGTTTGGAAGGAAAGCAACTAACAAATTAACTAACAGACTAACTTAGGACACACAGAGTTGGAAAGAAAGAGCTGACTGATGGTTGCTTCACTGTTCATTTGAAACGAACGATAAGAAAGGTTGCTGTAACTAAGCCTGGAGGCTTTGCAGGTTTCTAAACACCCATTGCTGCCTTTGAAAGAAACTTCGAGCTCTTATCAAAATATAATGCAAAGTGAAACGAGACACAGGTCCGTTTTCTTGGGAGCCTAAGAGCCTATATCCCAGTGTTTAAAACAGAGGTCAGCAGTGCCAGGCTGTGCCTTCAGAAACCTACCTACCTCCCACCTGCTATCTGGCTGCGCCACTCTCCACCTCTGCTCCAGTCACACCCTTAACTTGATATCTGTTTACTCGGGAGGGAGCGGGTTTTGAGAAGAGATCATAAATACGCTGGCCCAATGCCCTAGCAGCCATAACAAGCGAAAAGAGCATACTCGCCTGAAGATAACGTTTGGGATATTTAAATGTGTGGGTTAAATTTTTATCCACTCTAATAACTGGATTTTTTCCCCTTCAGTCTACTTCCTACTTCTTTGCTGTCTGTTTCTGCCCTGAAGCTGCAGGCACAAGAAACTCTGCAGGCAAAATCCCCCAGAGCCTACTGCGGGATAGCCCTGTAAAGACTGCTCCATTCCACAGTCCTTGGGCGGCTGCTCCTTCTCTGAAATGGCAGGTGTGAGTGGCTGTTTAAAATATTCTATGTTTTTCTTCAACTTCTTGTTCTGGGTAAGTATTTTTCTTTTAATTATCAATTTTGTACAAGAAAGAGGAACTTGAGATAAATATCATAACCAAGAACAGACTTACATAGAGCTAGAGGATGAGGAGGAAAAGACATTTTCCATTTAACTGTTTGGATCTGTTTGTCTCTCTTTGGTTGTTTCGGGAACTGAAAATAAGCCAATGACTCAAAAAAAAAGTGTACTCAAGTTCTTTGAAGATAAACATTTCCCAAATGTTTTCATATTGTTGCAAGACTAAACACAGGGGAAAATATCCCTTAATTAAAGGGTGATTATTCTTAGTTATATGTCAATCAGCAATCTCTGGTTTAAGGACTCCAAGGAAAACAGTTTGCTTCAGCCTGGCTTCTGGTTCCCTCCCTTGACATCTGGGTTTGAAGCAGGTGACTGACTAACTAGTGGGCGGTGGGATGATAAGTACACGAGAGGGCTATTTTCAGAGCCCCCAGGAAAAAAGAACGGGTCTTGAAACCTTCGGAGAAACAGCAAGTATTTAATCATAGGATTTAGCTAAGCCAATGACTGTGTATAAGTATTTTGATGTGTCATCAACCCACCCTTTCAAACAACAGGCTTTGTGTCTAGCAGAGTATGTTTTGCTTGAATGTCTGCTGATGTAAACCAATGGTTCTCAGCCTTCCTAATGCTGCGACCCCTTAATACAGTTCCTCATGGCATGCTGATACTTCATAATGGCAACTTTGCTATTGCTATGAATCGTAATATAAATATCTGATACGTAGGCTGTGAAAGGGTTGTTCCACCCCAGTGGGGTTGCAGCTCACAGGCTGAGGACCACTGATGTAGCTAAAACAAATATATTGGAAATAGCATTTAACAAGGAAAAATGAATATCAAGGTATGAAGGGGTGGTCTATTTGTTCACAGGTAAATCAATACAGAGATCCCAGAGTGCTCAAATAGAAAAAAATCACTTTATATTCTGGATTGAAAAGTAGCTTATGCATTATTAAAAATAATGATGAATTTAAATAAACTAATATAATTTCACAGTATGAAATGACCTTCCACTCGAGGGTCAGTAGCCCTAGCGAATATAGATGACATATTTGTTACTTAAATTAATTAAATAAGTATTTATTTATAACAATAGGACAGTAAAAAATTTTGTTCTTTATATCTTGTTTTTCTGCTAGAAAAAAATGGGCTGCTTTGAAAACACTAGAAACTAGAAAAATACTTTGAAACTCAAGAATTTATGACAAATTTTAAAAATTCATTTGATAGATTGCTTCTCTTGAATTATTAAAGTCACTGAGAGTAGAATATAAATGTGTTCTTTGGCTTTCTTTCAAACTTTCCAACATTCACAAACAAAAAGCAAATTTGGAAAATTAGCTCCATTACCGGGACTCTCAAACCATGAAACCACAGTCAATCTTACATGCACATTCGCATTCACTTGCCCAGGCAATTAGGAAGAAACTACTAGGGTTATCATTCATCTATCAATATGTTAGCCTGTATCTTGAAAGGAAATTACATTTACTAATGTATCTACAATATCATCCTTATTCTTTAAAAATTTAATATGAATTTCTTAATCAGGGTTTAAATTTCTAATTGCACCAAAAGTGTTATTTGAACTGGGATCCAGAAAAGGTCCGCACTGTGGTCGGTTGACATAGTGTGTGCTGCAATTAAAATCTGTAGATTCCCCCCACCAACCTCATCATTTTTCTCCTTTTTGAAATATTATATAGTTATTTCTATTGGTCTTTTTGGATTTTCTGTGGCTTGAATTTTGCTGTTTGCACACTCAAGATGCACCTTTCCATATACTCTTCATCTTCTGTATTTCTGTAAGCTAGCGATGACAGCAGGCCACTTGGTAAAACTTAGCTTTTTGTCAGGGAGAAACTGCTACTTCATAAGTAGTACTATATTCTTTCATCAGAAGTATATGTGGTATGTCTCTGTGATGATGCTCAAGTTGATTTTTGGTTCCTTAAAATACTGAAATGGATGATAATCTAGTGCTATCAATATTTCTTCACATGTTAGTTAAGGAGAAATTTATTGTTTAGTTGCCAGGGCATTCAGTGTTTGTGTTTGTGTGTGTGTGTGTGTGTGTGTGTGTGTGTGTGTATGTATGCCCATGCCTACATACATGTGTGCATGTACATATGTGTGTGTATGTATGTCCATGCATACATATATGTGTATATGTACATATGTGAGTGTGCATGTGTTTATCACATATTTTATATATCATGAATGTGTACACAAATGTAGTATAAATATTTATTTCTTAATTTCTAACCATATTTCAAAGTGAGTTAGCTTTTCTTACTATTCAACAATGAGCTAATATTTTCCTTATGAAATGAAAATATAGTCAGATACAGTTCTTATCCTTATTGATGCGCAATTTATTCTGGCTTTTTTTTTTTTTTTGGTTTTTTGAGACAGGGTTTCCCTGTGGCTTTGGAGGCTGTCCTGGAACTCACTTGGTAGACCAGGCTGGTCTCGAACTCACAGTGATCCGCCTGCCTCTGCCTCCTGAGTGCTGGGATTAAAGGCGTGCGCCACCAACGCCCGGCTATTCTGGCTTTTTAATAAAAGGCTCTTTGCTTTGGTTTCTGAGTCTTCTTGACATGATTATAATAACCTTTATAACCTCTTTATTGTTAAGTGGGACAAAGTATCTGGGCTCATCTGCCCATTTCCTGCCAGAGTTAGAACTATCTATTTCTTTAAGAAGTCCTGATCTCAGTCGGACATTGGTGGTGCATGCCTTTAATCCCAGCACTCAGGAGGCAGAGGCAGGTGGATCTCTGTGAGTTCAAAGCCAGCCTGGTCTCCAGAGCAACTTCCAGGACAGAAAAGAATCCCTGATCTCTTTACTTTTTACAGAACTATAACCATTGTTTATATTTCTAATATATATATATATATCCCATTTAAACAACCAAATATTAACATACTGATAAACACAGTTTTTAAGATGTTAAAAAAATCTGTCTGAAAATACCAACACCAGAAACTATCTTCAGATTAGGAAAAAGTTAAAATATTTCAGTATTTTATAAACAGAGAATGTGATGTTCTGATGGAAGTAGTGAATTCACTGTCTAATTCACAAACAAGAATTTGGAGTAGATCCAATTTTTCAACTGAAACGCTATATAAGGACAATCCCGGAAAGGGACATGTAATAAGTTTAAGATAAGAGATTCAGGGTCAGTTGCGGCTCTGCTATCTGTGTACCATTACTTTCCAGACACGGTCACAGCTTTCCTGGGGGAACTCAAATTACTTTATGGTTATAGTCTGCTCTTTCTCTGAGTTCACACATGGAATCTTACCGATACTGTAGATTTCTGTTAGATAATTCTACCTTGCTTCACAGATTTTTCTCCTTCCCATGTGCGGTGGGACCTGTAACCTGTAGGTAAGAGACAGTGACTCTCAGTGAGGACAATAGCTGGGAAGACCAATGATAACTTCTGAGCCACATGTGACATCGAAATTTTAAATCAAAATGCAGGCATCTGGAGCTGTTTCTGAGGCGAGAGGGGGAGGGACATTCCTGTTTCTACTCTCATGTTTCCCCTCAGCCCAGAGTTCTCAGTTGGAAAGTTATGATCCTTCATAGGAAATTAGCAATTTGTCACATTCTTAATGTTTACATGAACATAAATTTTAATGTTCCTATTGATGTGGTTTTCTTGTAGATGTCCATGGCCTTGTGTTTTCAAATGCATTCTTTCTGGTTCTAACTTGTGAAACTTGGCTTTTGTAAAGTGGGGCCAGATGTGGAAATATCTCTGAGATATGCATATGGTCATTTGATCTAAACATATTGGCTTCTCTTCAGGGAGAGCTTGATGAGCCACACAAATATGTGGTGCTTTACATGTGATAGAATTGTTAATGGAAGAAAAACATGTGAACTGAAACCTAATCATGTTGGAGATTGCTGCAAGGGAGAGAATCGGAGGTGTTATCGATAATAGAAAACCTATTTCCCCGAGTCATATGTGAAGCACAGGAAATGCCCAAATTTTCTCACGCCCTTCTTAGGTAGGGCAGGCCTGGGAGTGTCAAAGGAGCTTAGGGCTTCCTGGGCATCTGGGCACGTAGGGGGCCTTTTATGGGAAGATGCAGGATAATAAAAACCAGACACAGAGCACTGTGCAGAGATCACATTTCATGAAGAAAAGAGCGGTGACACATTACCAGTCTTCAAATGAGCACAGTGAAGAAAGGGGACTAATCCCCAAAGCTGAAGGCATCCACACCCAAAGGGAGCAATGAATAATGGAGTTTGAAGTGTTAAGAAGGTAGTCTGAACATGGACCAAATCTAGGAACCAGTGATTCAGGGTTATGGTCATTGTCTTTTCTACACTGGATGTAGAATTAAGAGCTTTGAGGCAAAGCAGACATATCTCTGAGATAAGGGTACATCACAAATATTAGGACGCAATTATGTTTTATCCCACTGGCGGATGGAAAGCCCTGTGACCAACAGTAAATACAGTGGCTGCTTGTCATTGTACAATTAATGCTTTTCAGTTGAACCACTGCAACAGCAAGGATGTAAGAGGCCAGTTGTAGTGATCTTAGGTCAACAAGACATGGTCTCTTTACTAGCTATACTTCCTCGGAGGAAATAGCTTCTCTGTACTTTGCAGCTTGTCTCCCCAAACCGTAGCTCTCTGAACCTCCTTAGATCGTTGTGATGATTGAATGAGTTAATATGCATAACAATAAGCTCTTACCAAAAATGGCATTTTGACCAGCATTTTATAGGCATTTTAATAAAAAAGATATGAAACGATTTCATAATATGATGGATAATTTTCCATGTTGGAGTTTGGACCAGAGAAGGAACTAAGACTGAAAGAATTTATGATAAAGCAAGATTTCTCCCACCGCAGTTAAAGAAACGAGAAAAAATGTCATGTGGGATACCCTTATGCTGCAAATATGCATTGTTTTCATTGGTTGATGAATAAAACTGTTTCGACCAATGGGTAGGCAAAATACTGAATTCCAAACAAAGATGTAGAGAGAAGGAAGGCAGTCTCAGGGAGACACCTTGTATCCTCTGAAAGAGAAACATGCCAGAGCATCACTGATAAGTCAGGGACTCATGGCAATACACAGATTAATAGAAATTTGGCAACTTATAAGAGAGAGCTAGCCAATAAAAAGCCTGAGCCATTGACCAAATAATTATATTGGATATATTAGCCTCTGAGTGATTATTTCATAAGTGGCTAGAGGGACCCAGCAAGTTGGAGAGAAACTGGTTCAGTCAGCGGAACCAGGGGAGACAGAGAAAGCATCCAACTACAATTTTGATTCAGTTCCTTAAAGCATCCTGTTGCTTTGTGTGCTAACATATGTTCGCTGGCCATGCTAGGCATCTTTCTGCATTCATAAAGAGAGTGGCGCTTTCACCTGGAAAGTTAATTGTTAAGATAGTTAAGAAATTTTACAAAAACTTATAAGCAAGGTTTGGTATCCAGTAGTTTAATTGATTTTTTATTCCTATGATGGGTCATATTTCTTTTTAATGTAAAAATTTGCCCCTCAAATGATGACCATATCTTATGCATGGAAGTCTTTTAAAACATAAGCATAATTTTAGTCCTACTTGACCCTTCTCTTTTCTGACAAGACAAGGAGTCTGTGAGAATGAAGGGAATTTACCCTCAATGATGCTGGCCACTACTCTAGATAGAGACAGACCCCAAATGTCCCCATGAAAGTGGCTTCAAGCCATTGTTGTGGATAACACAGATTCTCCTCCACTAATGAGCCCTGGGAGAAGTTGTAAGTTGAATTTGGATTTCCAGGAACCCACATGAATTCCTGTTAAGTCCTACAGAGTTCATATCAGAGGAAGTTAGTTCAGAATGTCTTCCCACTCTCGTTGGAAGATTTTGTTGACTTCAGCATATTTTCTGTCTCAGTCTGCTTAGGCCTCCGTAAGATATTACTGTGATTGGCAGTTGAAACAACAGAAATTCATTTTCTACAGTTATGAAGACTGGGAATTCTAAGATTGAGGTGACATCCATTTGGGTGTCTGATGAGTTTCCTCCTGCATCTTACTATGTTCTCACGTGGTTCTTCCCAGGGATTAAGTTAGTGGAGAGAGAGAGGTCTCTCTCATAAAGTCCACAATCTTACTGGATTAGGATTCTACCTCAATGAGTTCTTTTTACATTAATTATCTCCTAAAGTCCTACTTCTAAATATAGTCATTGGAGCAGTGTTTTATGTAAGAGTCTAGGGAGATGCTAACCAGACCATGACTTGCCCATATGCAAATATCAAAATTGCCTACCTTTTCAGAACGCTGATTCTGACCAACCACATCCTAATTGTAAAAATCAAAGACATCACATTAGAACTTGGTAAAACCTACAGTGATTACCCTGAAAGCGAAACCAGAATAAAGATGGGCCAGTTATTTCTACAGTGTCTGCTAATGCCAGGCTTAAGCCAACACATTAATGCCTTTTATGTCACAGTCTTACAATTAAACATATCTGCCCACTAATGCAAGATGGCATGAATGTTATAGGAGGAACCAACAGCTTTTTTAAAAATTGATTTCCTGACATGGAACGTAGTCCTGATACTGTTAAAGAGGTCAAGAACCTGAGACTCGATAGGTTATGGTACCCAAAGCAAAACCCATTACTATTACTCTGCTAAATGAACATAGCAATAAAATGACTCCTAATAGCATTTTGCTATACCCATATATCAGTGCTTCCCTCAGCCCTCATCAGAGAAGCTTCTTCTTGCAATAGATGGGAATTAACACAGAGACCCACAACTGGACAGTGTGCAGATTGAAAGACTTTGGGGTGCTCAGCCCTGAGTAGAATCTTTTTGTTTGTTTTGTTTTTATCACATTTCTCCCCTGTAGGCTCATGGATCTATGCAGAAGAGGGGGTAGAAAGATTGTAAGAGTCAGAGGTGATGGGTGATTTTAAGTAAACAGATATAAAAGGGCAGATACAAATATGAATCCCCAGAGACAGTGAAAGCATACACAGGACATGTTCAGGAGAGATGAAATCCCAGCACAAAGGAGGGGAAGTGGGCATAAACTCCCAGCCCTAGGCAAGAAGCTGTTTACAAATTATAGCAGCAGGCAGAAGGAAAATCAGTTTTCTTTAATGGAGTGATACTGGGTGTATCAACCACTCTTCAGGCAGACTCCATGCTCATGGGCAGCTGGCCAGCACATCTGACTTCGTGCTTGTTAGTGGACTCTTCTCTTCTTTTGTTTTTAAAAGAAAGAACGTGAAATGGGGTAGGAAGGGAGGCAGGATGGCCTGGGAGCAGGGGGATGGAAAAGAATATGATAAAAAATACTGTATGAAATTCTCCAAGAATAAATGTAAAAATAAATGTACGTGTAAAGGGAGAAGAAAAAGACCGAAAATACCAGCAAGTAAATCAATTAAGGAATAAGAAAAATGCAGTTACTACAAAATCGCTATTAGAAGGTCTCCTTAGTTATCACTGGACACTTATTCTCACTCTCTGACTTGCTAACTGGCACCTGTTAACATGGGTCCTTATCTTCACTTGTAAATATTAGGTTTATTGGGAAGAAGGGTAATGAGGCTTACAACTCTAAACTTTTATTAATTTATGTTGTATAGTTTCTGTATATATACACGCCTGCATGTAAGGGAGTCAGTTGCATAGGTTATTGTCTACTGAACAAATAATTTTGTTCTTTTCTTAAATTGCATTAGGATAATTGGGGCAATTCTTATAGGAGTTAAAGCATGAAAGAAGGGCAGATGGTTAGGAGTTGGCCTGGATTTCAACCTCGTGACTGCAATCTATCAGGATTCTGTTACTTTATCTTAACAGTTGGGACTTTGATGGCTTTTGAGGTCTTTTAGGCAGCAAGACTCCATGTCTCCTCAGCTGCTGTGCACTCCCTATTCCTTTAGCAAGCCCCTTGGCCTCATTTCTACTGCAAACTTAATGAGTAGCACTAAAAGTTCTGCGGAAAGTTGCAGGCATGTAGTTCAACCATGCATGCATAAAAGCAATGGTCAAAGGTCACTGGGTTTTGGAGAACTCAGACATTTTTTGATAGTGTCAGAAAGGTCAGAAACATCTAGAAAGTCCTCTACAGCCTACTATGCTGGTATGTCACCAGGGTTGTCCCTAGCATATCTATCTAATAATACATCTTGGATTGTTTGAGGCATGTATGTATATCTCTTTCTTTTTCAACCTTGAGAGACAAGAGTTTTCCTAACACTAAAGTAAAATGTGTTTTACATTTTATGTGCTGGCCGTGATCCAAATTAAATAATATGGTAAAGTCATTAAAGGAATTTAAGACTTTAAAAACTGTTCACCATTGTTCCTTTCCTCTGTGTAAGCCTTACTACCTAAAAATCTATTTTTTAAAGGTTTAATTTTAAAAATACTGATCAATATATGCTACCATTGCTAAATTTCACATTTTGTCAAGTTCTCTATTGTTTATCTTTGCAAACTTCAGTCTTCCTCAGGAATCCTGAATACATATTTTATGATTAATGAGTTATGCCTTCCTTTCTTGGTCCAAAACAGAATTCAAGAGTCAAATGCAGGAGTATTTTAGGGGTATCTTATCTTTAAACCATAGGAGGGAGACCTCACATGATTGGGATTAAATCATGTGAATTGTCTTTTCCCACCTAGCAGAGGTGGCTTCTTGTCTTAACACTATGAATTGACTGTGACTCTTATCTTATGAGTCTTATGAATAGACTGCTGTGGAGTACTTCAGACTGTAATGGTCTGGTTATCAATAAACTATTGCAGCCAGATAAATGGAGTTTATGAAATTAGCATTTCATTTTATCTTTGTACTCTAACATTCTTCCCCCCATTTTTGCAGGTATGCGGAACGTTGATCCTGGCACTAGCAATATGGGTGAGAGTAAGCAAAGATGGCAAAGAGGTAAATACAGATACACCAAGCAACTCTATCTCCATAATGAATAGCAATGGCAGTAATAATGACAAATAGTAAATGTTCTAAACCATGTTTCTTAAGTGCCTCACTTACCGCTTGGGATGTTTTATGGGTTTACAATTTAAGCCATCAGAATCGCTTATTATGATCTGGTGATGGTGGTGCATGCCTTTAATGCCAGCACTTGTGAGATCCAGGCCAGCCTGGTCTACAAATCATGTTCCAGGACAGCCAGGACTGTTGCATGGAGCAGTCCCTCTGGAGAGCTGAGTAGGGTGTGTTATTGCTATGGAAGTATCTATGTTTGTGAAGGGAAGGCTATTTCTCTGGAATGGGTAGAGATCTATCGTTCAAAGTTGCTCAAAAATGTAAGAGTTAGTCAATTCAGTTGGGCTAGTCAGTCACTTGGTCAAGGGACCAGCCCTCAGGAAGACTGATTTACCATAAGCCATGTTAAAAATACAGGAGGAATTATATCCTTAATGAGATAATGTATTTTTCCTTCCCAGAGTCCCATCACTCTATGTAATTGATAATGAAGAACAGGCATTCGGCAGGATGCCCACTACATTGCCACCCCCAGCCTGCTTTTGCCATATGGCTATTTGTCTGACCTCCACAGCTTCCTCTCTTCCTCTTAGCCATTTTCCTCCTTCAAGAAGCTGCCAAGATTTATGGCTCTTCTGCCCTTGGAGTTTTCATTTAAGCTCAAATAAAATTATCTTTGAGCTTTCTTCTGAACCCATTCTTAAATTATTTTATCAGCGAGACTAAGAACCCTGAGTGGTGACCCCAACTTCCCTGGTAACATGTGTCACCCCAGGTGGAGGTCTCCCCCAAATTTTAGTAACATTATTTTCAGACTACTCTTAGCTTCTGTTCCTTACAGACCCTTGGTTATGAAGGCAGGCTCTTGGCAGGGGCTGGGTCATGTCTATTAGGGCCTTTTCAAAGGTTTTGTACCAATAGTTTTCCTCTCTTTTTTAAATTTAATTTTTATTTTAGAAATAATCTTATTTTATATATCAATGCCCCCCATTCCGTCACTCTCCCATCCTCCCATGCCCTCCACTGACCCTCCCCAACCCACCTCCCACCCACTCCCCAAGGATAGTTGAGGCCTTCCAGGGGGGATCTTCAAAGCCTGTCACATAATTTGGGGGAGGGCCTAGGCCCTCTTTCGTGTATTTGGGTTGAAATAGTATCCCTCCATAGGGAATGGGCTCCCAAAGTCCATTTGTGTACTAGGGATATAGTTTTCCTCACTTAAGAATTCCAGTTCCTGTTGAATTTTATAAAGATTATATTAAGCCATTGGTAGAGACAATCCCCTAAAATTATTTAAATTATTATTATTATATCATGGTGCAACTAACCACCTTGGGGCACGGTTTAGTGGAAAGAAGGATTAAAAACAAACTGGCAGCTGGTTTGTCTCCTTTTCTAATATGGACAGCTTTACCAGAAATGTTCATATGTTCATCCCCCCTCCCTCCGTCCCTCCTCCCTCCTCCCTTCTTTCCCTCTCTCTAGCTCCTTCTCTTATGACTTCTTTTCTATCCCAAGAGAGTCCAGAGAATCCCGAGGCTGTTAGTTACTTCCTCATTCTGAGCTTCACCAGATGATTAAACTGGGAGGGGCTGGGTGAGGCAGGTCGCCTTGCTTCCTAGTTCATCAGAATTCCACTCATTATTTATTCTGATAAATGTGGCACTAAATTGCCCATGGTCCCAGGATCTGGCATTTGAGAGGAAGAGAAAGAGGTTTTGAAGGTGTATGTAATCTGTCTGGGTTTGAGGCTCATAATTTAAAAAACAAAAAACAAAACAAAAAAACAGACTAACAACCACCACTCTGGGTACTTTAGACTTTTGAAGATGTGTGCACAGCCTGAATTTTATACTATTATTTGATTTCTGGCCTGTGTTTTCTTTCTTCCCAGTGTTTCTGTTAAGCAAATTCGGTGTTTAGTCTGTTAAGAAATGACACACATTGAACACATTAAATGAGAGCCATTGTCCTTGAGAGAATGTGACTCTGACTCCACATCTGGGAATGGAATGGAGCACAAGGGATAGACAACACTGTTAGTTACATTTAGAGTCCTGTGCTGCCAGCCTTCTACCCAGAACTAAAGTCAGTACCAGGGCAACCGTCCAGGCTTACGAGAAGTTAGCTTTATGCGTGTTTGTCTGCAGTTAGTGGCAAAGAATCGAGACTGCGTGGAGAGCTGAGTTTCATTCCTGGGGAAACAGGACTAGTAGTTTTACAAGGGCCAGCATGAGAACAAACACATAAAAGAATGACAGGGAGGTGACATCTCTCTCTGCTAATGTGCCTTGGAAGGATATGTTCTAAGGATAAACTCCATAGCTTCCAAGGCCAAAATCTTGGGCACGACCCTTGTTTAGGGCATCTCTTCTAATCTAAAGAAGATCCCATCAGCCTCATCTTTCAGACTCAGCAGCCCCTCTTTAGAATGTTCCCCTTTTCTTAAGAAACACACAGACTCTGTTTATATGGGACAGCTTTGGAAACTCTGCTGGGTTTCTGCTGGAACAAACATCCGGCTCAGATTTCTAGCTCATTCTTCAGGAAGAATAGGCATTTGTTGGGCTGAACTTTCAACGGTGACTGGTAATGGGTCAGCAAGCAGCTTTCTTTCTGCTTGGTCCCTGGCAGTGGGTGGCCTCACCACAGTCCTTAATTACTGCCTGTGTAGGTGTCAGCCATACTACTCAAGCTCCCTGTATAGTCCATCTATTATCTCTTGGTCTGCCCTGAGTTCTAGTAACCTTGCTACCTGTTTAGATATCAAAGCATGTCCCGGTGTTGACATACTTTTTTTTTTTTTTTGGTCTCTGACCTCATGTCTGCTTTTTAACAACAATGATTTCTCTGACTTTAATAATTTTCTAATCCAGCCGGTCATGATGGTGGTGCACATCTTTAATCCCAGCACTTGGTAGGCAGTGGTAGGTCCATCTCTGTGAGTTCGAGGCCAGCCTAGGCTACAGAGCAAGTTCTAGGACAGCCATAGCTGCTTTTGAGAGAAACCCTGTCTCAAAAACCAAAAAAATTTCTGATCCTTTTACATAGTATTTCTATCAATTTGTTGTGAATTCCATACATTCAATACAAGGTATTTGATTATATTCCTCCCCCACTCATCCTCTTCTAGAATTTGTGTCTTTACTTTTGTTGTTGTTGTAATAACCTACCATGCCCAATTTGTGCTGCCCACATGTGGGACTGTCCACCAGAGCAGAATGGTCTATCTACCAGGACCAACAACCTTAAAGAAAACTAATTCTCCCTCCCAAGAAGTCTGGCTCCAATCCTAACAGCAAAACAAACAAACAAGCACACATACAAACAAAAATCTCTCCTCAAAATAAATTTAAAAATTTATGACATACTCAGGTTTTAAATTTGTAAATCTAAGCGATATGTGTAAGCAAATATTTTTATAGACAAAGGAGGCATTACAAACCATAGAACTGGCCTATTTCTCTTTTCTAAACTGCAAATTGGCCCTGAGGTTAGCTTACTGTCCTGGAGTTACACACTTGTTACATATTAGGACCCCAAGTAGAATATGAATCTAGGCTTTTATAATTTCAGCACATTCTTTCATATTGACTATTGAATAAAAAATTCCTATAGGTCATGAATGGGTTTAAAAAGCTTTCAAAACAGAAGGATCACTAATGGCATGTTATTTTTGCATTGATTTGGTAAAGGAGGTGACCTGTGGGTGGTCTGGAAGATAGCAAAATACAGAATCTTAAGTATCTTTCCTTGGAGACAGCCCGGTACCTAGAGGTTTTAGGTGGCATGCACAGTAGGCAGCATCATGAGTAGCAAAGACGTAAGACCTCCATCTTTAGCTGTAACTGACTACTGCACGTGCATGGAGGAGGACAGATGCTGTGTGACCTTGGGTGCTGTGAGGTTAATATACAGGCAGATACTTGTGTCGAATGTGGAAAACCTGAGTTAAACCGGATGAGTGGCTCACCCACCATAAACAGACCTAAGATATTTTTTTTCTCAACATCCCATGATTTGACAGTCTGGCAAAACTAGTCTCTGGGTTAAGTCCTTCTGGGAATGAGAGGATAAGATTTGACATGGACTGCCAGGAACTGGGCTTATTGTATCCTTACCAAGTGCAAGAGCGTGTCTATTAACCCAGAACCATTTCTCAGTGTGCCTTTGCAGCCAGTTCCTGCCTTCTTGCCTATTTTGCTCAAAGGCAAGCTGCTTTAATTTTGATCACTACAGCTTTGCCTGTTCTTCAACTCCACGTAAACGGATCTTACAGGATCTTGCTCCTTTATGTATGGCTTCTTCAGGTCAGCGTGATTCTGACACTCATAGATGTGGTAACAAGCAGTGACTTGAGGACCTTAGGGTGTTTTTAAGTCAAAATAATTAGATTGTTATAAAACACAACACTTTGGCACACCACTCTATGTGTCAGATAGACAATGTGTGACCCAAAGATTCCATTAAAAGGACGAAAAGCACTTTTCTTTTTCAACTTTTAGAAACAACTTTAAAAAGTTCCTACATTCAACATCTTTCGTTTCATTCTAGGAGAATTATCCTAGAATCACACGACTCAGGAAGGTGGAGGAATTTCAGTAGACCTTGAACTCTGCCAGGGCAGAGACTTTCAATGGTTTAGGTCACAAATCTTCTCGGGTTCTCAGAACTGGGCCTGGCACCCAGAGGGCACTCGAGGGATATTTGGACAATGAGAAAAGTAAACACCAAGACGAGGAATTCACACTGCGGATCTCTTCTGTTTCTAGATCATCACTTCCGGAGACGCTGGCACGAACCCCTTCGTTGCTGTGAACATCTTGATTGCGGTGGGGGCCATCATTATGGTTCTGGGCTTCCTGGGATGCTGCGGTGCAGTGAAAGAAAGCCGTTGCATGCTTCTCTTGGTGGGTTCCAGACCCCAAGGGTTCTCTGTCCCCGCGATCGGTCAAGCTTGATGAAGCCCTGACTTATTTTAGAGAATTTGAATCTGGAAGATACTATGCCTTGGGTTTTGGATTACCTCGGATTAAATTTGAGGTTAAACTTTAGAGTCTAAAAGCAGATAGACACATTTTAATTACTCACGCCTTCACTCGTTCAGTCATTCATTCAAGCAACGTGACCATGTTTCTGTGTGTCAGACGCTGTGTTAAGTTGTTACGGAGGATCATCTTAAAACAAGACCCATGGGGGGAGAATAGTAAGTGAAAATAGACTACAGTGAAAATGGCCACAGAGGAGAAAGGTGAAGATGGGAGAGGGAGCTATCAAAACAGAGGTAGAAATGTCTAATCCGTCTGCCTAGATGCAGGAGCATGTGGTTACCCGGAAGGGAGCCTGGGATCCAGGGCTGCTGTGTGTGAGGAATGGGAGTATCTTGGGTGTGACTGGAGAGAATGCAATGGCTATGATCTCTAGGAACGATAAGAGGTGTATTTCTGTGGGCTGTAAAGTACATGCTGTGCTAAAGAAATTGCAAGGGAGATAACCAGATGTGTGATTTAGGATTTTCCAGAAGGATGGTTTAAACTGGGATAGCCCAGAGGCATTCACTGTTTAACTTATACTAGAAAGCAATGAACAGTTCTTGGCAGACTGTTAGAAAAAGGGAGTATTTGTCAGGTATAAATGTGAATGAACCTAAATTGTTTCTATGATTAAAGAAGCACTGTGCATGTCTGAGAGTAATGGTGCTTTAGCTGTTGGCTGTGAGGGACTCCAGGAACATCTCCTGATAGAGTTTTTGAATATTGAGGCTTCTCTTGCCATTTAATTACCTGAGGAACTTGTTTTTTTTGGTTTTTTGAGACAGGGTTTCTCTGTATTGTTTTGGAGGCCGTCCTGGAACTTGCTCTGTAGACCAGGATGGCCTCGAACTCACAGAGATCCACCTGCCTCTGCCTCCCAAGTGCTGGGATTAAAGGCGTGTGCCACCAACGCCCGGCGAGGAACTTGTTTTAAAAACAGACTGGTATGTGGGTTCCATCTTCCATGCACTCATGCACACTCATACTCATACTCATGCACACATGCACACATACACACCCATACACACACATACACACATGTACACACATACTCCTGCACATTCATACTCATGCACACTCATACTCATGTACATGTGTGTGTGTGTGCGTATGAGTGTGTGTGAGTGGCATGAGTATGAGTATGAGTGCTTGCATGTGTGTTCACCTTGACTTAATCAGGAATGGAGAAGCAATGTTCAGATCCTCTAGGCTTTCCAACCTGCTTCCCTTTAACAAGACAGAATCGACAATAGTCTTTCTAATGAGATTTAATTGCCACCACTTTCCTTGGTCATTTTTCTTTTTGAAGCAGGTGCTTCTGGGTAGTAATACAGTAAATCTGTAGCTTCAACACAATGGTGTAGTAAAGGGAGGCTGAGGCTGGTACTCCACCTCTGAGGTTGTTCTGGCTGCCAGGGGTCACATGACACCGAAATGCTGTTGGCAGTTACTGGCTGCTCTGAGAACAACCCATCCCTGTCTTGTCTTTCAGTTTTTCATCGGTTTGCTCCTGATTCTGCTTTTGCAAGTGGCAGCAGGCATCCTGGGGGCTACTTTCAAATCTGAGGTATGTTCACAGCTGATGTTTGACAACTGTTGGAAAGGCTTAAGACATTGGAATTCTACACTCCGGTATAAATAATTTAACTACATACATATATTTTCAATTTTCAGTCTAGCCGCCTTCTGAATGAAACTCTCAGTGAAAATGCAAAATTTTTGACTCAAACGACTGATGAGGCAAAAGAATTCCAGAAGGCCATGATTTCGTTTCAAGAAGAGGTAATTAGAATTACTTGGTCACTTGGAAATTTGAATGTGATTTCTCACTGTTTAACTTTCAAATTAAAAAAAGTGAGTGAAAAAAAGAAATAGAAAGGAAAGGAAAGGGCATGACTGCTCCTAGGTATGGTGGAGGAGAAACTTTATTGTAGATAAAAGGGAGACTGTAGGCAGAGACAAGGACAGAGTGGACGTGACAAGACCAGACTGAGCTGGCATGTGGGGAGAGATGGAGGGACAGGGAGGGGGGAGACAGGGGGACCAAGTGTAGCAGTCAAGAGAAGGCAAAGGTCCAGAAGGGGCAGGTACCCAAAATGTCTCACTTATAGAGGGAAGAGCCTCTGGGGGAAGGGCAGGCCAGCCCCTGGGCTGGAGAGTTCAGGGCAGAGGGTGCGGTTATATTGTGATCCATACCCTATAGCAGGTAGGGACTGACTGAGGGTTGCTCGGGGAAGCAGGTGGCCAGGTCTGTTTAGATGTGTTAAACAGGACCTCCGCCATTTGCCCCAGGGTTTGGGACTTAACAAAAAGTTATTACTATCATTTTTAAAAATATATGTATGATGTTGTGCTGCCTGTATGTCTGTGCACCAAATACATTCCTGCTGCCTGCAGAAGCCAGAAGATGGCATTGGATCCCCTAGAGCTGGAGTTATGGGTGATAGTGAGCTGCCCTGTGGTTGCTGGTAATCAAACCCAGGGCCTCTGGAGCAGCAGCCAGTGCTCTTGACCACAGAGCCATCTCTTCAGCCCACTATTTAATTTTTAAATTGGTGTATTCTGTGAAGATAAATCCTCCATTTTGCAGAGCTTGACTGATTATTATTTCACAATTTGATAAGAAAAAAGGTATCTGTAATGGTTTCTAATACATTAGGATTTGAAGCAATTTAGGGGATAGATTAAGAAGATATGTCTACAACAAATGAAGCTTTTGTGGGACAAACAGTAATTATTTTAACATTTACAGTCTGAAAGAATAGTGTGCTGAGGAGTCAGCCTCTTCTCCCTCCCACCACTTAAAACTAACACTTTACATTCCTTGCAGCCCTATGAACCAGTGAATTATTTGTTTGTTTTGCTAAGACTAAATGCCTGAGTCTAAGTCTTTTAAACATAAAAGATATTTATTTGTTTATTGGGGTTTTCATTTGTCTGCTTGTTGGTTTTACGCTGTGTCTCACTATATAGCTTTGACTGGAACTTCCCCTGTAGAAGTTGCTGGCCTCAAACTCACATAGATCTGTCTCCAGAATTCTGGGATTAAAGGCGTGCACCACCATGCCAGGCAAAAAAAAGAAAGAGATATGCTTTACTCACAGTTCTGGAGGTTGAAAGGCATGACGTCATCTGCTCAGGTCCATCAGGTCCTCACAGAAGAGGACATCACAATGGTGGGAGTAAATATCGTAGAGACCACTCCAGACAAGAAGCAAGTCTGGAGAGGAGGAGGTCCTGCTTTTTCTTTGTTGGGTTTTGTTCATGTATCTGGGTGTTCAGATTTTTAAAATTTGTTCTGAAATTTTGCTCTATAATCAGCACACATTGCAAAGTATTAACGGTGGATTTCATTATGTCAGTTTCGTGCATACTTTGTTTTGCTTGACTCCCCTCCTCCTCCACACCGCACCCCTTGATGCTCACTCTTACCACTTGTACCACTTGTACCCTTCTGGTCCTAGCAGTCCTTTCAAGTTGCATGTCACATGTATCCTATCACCCCCCACCCTTGCTTAAAACTGACCCCCTCCATGGTAACCCATCCTCTTAGGAGCTAACTCCATCCTGCAAACCCACCCAGCCACTCTTCACAGCCAGCAGCAATCCGTTCATGAGAGTGAGTCCCACCTCATAAAAGTTCTCTAATGCTACAACACAAGATTCCAGAATATGACAGAGAAGCAGATGGTGACATGTTGATGCATGTCATTGCAGAGGGGGGACTGACAAATAGCAAGGGGTTAGAATTTGAGTCCAGATCCATGGGAGCTAATTTTTATTTTTCAGTTGGGGCTGCTAGCCCTTTCCCCTCTCTCTCTCTCTCTCTCTCTCTCTCTCTCTCTCTCTCTCTCTCTCTCTCTCTCTCTCTCTCTCTCTCTCCCTCCCTCCCCCACCTCTCATCTTTAAGGTAAAATTAAATGGAAGCATTAAAGCTATTTGACATCTGGTTCCTCCCAATCTTTACTGAGTATTATTTCCGAAGGAAGCTGTGGGTTTGTGAGGTCAAGGTCTGTTGAGAAACTCTGTCTTCTTGACTTTATATCATCCCACATCCTTGGAGTGCACTTCCTGCCTTTCTTCCCCTTTGTGAATACATGGACTTTTTTTTGTTTTTCTTTTTCTTTTTGGTTTTTACGAGACAGGGTTTCTCTGTATTGTTTCGGAGGCTATCGGTCCAGCCTGGCCTCGAACGCACAGAGATCCGCCTGCCTCTGCCTCCCGAGTGCTGGGATTAAAGGCATGCACCACCACCGCCCGGCTACATGGACTTTAAAGAATGACAGAATTTTATTTTGTCTGAGGCTTCCTAGCTACACCTTTAGATTTTAGAAATCTCACCATATTATCTACATGTAGTGTTCACTGTAGGTGTGGCTTAGCATAGAAATTCTTAGAAGACTGAAGGAGGGCTGGATTTTTAATCCATTCTACCTTTTCATTGATTGAAATATTTTACATTTGCCATCTACCATTTAATTATTGAGTTGAAAGTCTGCTCATTTTTACTCATCTCACTTCTATACTAGCTGACAATCAGTGTGTTCTTCCTCAATTTGGAAAAAACCCCAACTATCTCCCTAGAATTCTATCATTTAGTCATATTTCTGAAACCAACATGAAAAAGAAGTCTATGAGCCGGGTGGTGGTGGCACATACTTTTAATCCCAGCACTCGGGAGGCAGAGGCAGGTGGATCTCTGTGAGTTCGAGGTTGGGCTGGACTGACAGCCTCCAAAACAATACAGAGAAACCCTGTCTCCTAAAACTAAAAAAAAAAAAAGTCTATGAATGTCTGTAAACACAGTGGATTTTTCTTTGAAAGTAGATGTTGTTTGATTCCCAAAGTTTGCTTTTCAAGCTGAAACATCCTTGATTTCTAACTATTTATCAGATGGCATGGTTTTCCATGATCTTTTACCAGTTTCTATTTGGAGAGATTTCAGCTCATAAAAATTCTGCTTAAAACAATTGTTTTCAAGAACAGAAATCTTATGTGAGCTTCATCCACCTAAATTCCTGTGTGAGGCGCTGTTTTTCCTAACTTCCCACAGCTGCATCCTTTGCTTTCCCAACCCTCTCAATTTCCCTTCTAGAGCACAGACTAATTCTAGTTGACTATGGGCACTCCCCCTCTGTCTTCTCTTCAGAAAAGAGCAGGTCTTCAAGGGATAACAAGCAAATAGGACAAACCAAGGCACAAGGAAAAAGGCCTCATATCAAGGTGGACAAGGCAACCCAACAGGAAGAAAAGGGTCCTGAGAGCAGGCAAAAGACTCAGAAGCATAGTTGTTCCCACTATTAGGAGTCCCACAAAAATGCCAAGCTAACAGCCATAATATACATTCTAAGGACCTGGTGCAAATCCCTGCAGAACCCCTGCTTTCTGCTTCAGTCTCTGTGAGCCATGTGAGCACTCCTTAGTAGCTTCAGTAGGCCATGTTCTCCTGGTGTCCTCAGTGCTCTCTGACCCCTATAATCTTTCCTTCCCCTCTTCCTAGGGGTTCTCCAGTTTCTGAGGAGAGGGACCTGATGGAGACCTCCAGTTTAGACTCTCTCTCTCTCTCTGCATAATGTTTAGCTTGGGTACATCCCAATCTCCCCTCCCACCAGGGAGCCTCTCTGATGATAACTGGACAAGGTACAGGTCTATGAGTGTAGCAGAATATCATTAAGAATCATTTCATTGATGTTTTTATTTGTATTTGGTTCTATCTTCGGTTTGATCCAGGCAGTATAAGGTTTGGACTCCCTCTCTTGGTGTGGGCCTCAAATTAAAGCAGACATTGTTTGTTTTTTCAATACAGGGTTTCTCTCTATAGCCCTGGCTGTTCTGGAACTCACTCTGTAGACCAGGCTGGTCTCAAATTCAAAGATCTGCTTGCCTCTGCCTCCAAGTGCTGAGATTAAAGGTGTTTGCTCAGATATTTTTACTAATGAATTATTGATTGACTGAGTAATTAAATAATTTCTGAGTTCCTGTCTCATAATGTAGTCTCAACTGTCCTGGAACTCACCATGTAAATCAGATTGGCCATGAACTCACGGACACCTGCCTGATTCCAAGTGCTGAGATTAAGTTCAGGCCTGAAAGATAAGCCAGTGTTTGTTGTTGTTGTTTACCAATTTTCCTAATAGTCTCTCCATGAAGTGTTCTTTCAGGTAGATGAGTTAGGAGGGGGTGGAGATTATTGCTTTCTCTTCTTTGCTGATAGTGTCCTGTCCAGAGTCATGCTTGCTTCCTTGCCCACCTGGAGCAGGACCACAACCTCTCCTGCTTTAGGGACCGTAGTCTGGACTTTCATCTCTATTCTTCCAAAAGGCTGATCCTTAATCTGTGTTTGCTTTCATATTATAAAGGTCTCTGTGAAAATTCAATCCTAGGGAAGTTCTTTGAAAGGTCTCTTTCCTTCCTTTCTCAAAATAGAGTTGATTTTTCTTTTTATTATGTGTATGTGTGCTCTGTGCAGGTAAGGTGACATGTCATATTTTAGCATAAGGAGTACTGCAGAGATGGCTTAGTGGTTAAGAGTACTTGCTGCTCAGAGTGCCTGAGGTCAGGTCAGAGTTCAGTTCTCAGGGTCCATGTCACACCTTCCTTAATGCAGCTCCATTGGATCCTATGCCCCCTTCTGGCTTCCCTGAGCATGTGACTGGCATACCTTGCATGCATGCGCACACACGTGTGTGTGTGTGTGTGTGTGTGTGTAATAAAATCTATATTGTAGCATAAGATATATCTTTGTAATGACATTGAAAAGAACATTGTATGGCATGGTTTTGATTATGTTAAGGACTGTGTTTCCTACTATTTCTCTTTTCACAGTTTCAATGCTGTGGCTTGGTCAAGGGAGCTGAAGATTGGGGAAATAATTTTCAAGAGGCTAAAGACTCATGTAAATGTACAGATGCAACAAGAACTCAGTGTACTACTTATCAAGGAAATTCAGTTAATTCACAGGTGAGAATAAGATCCAATATGGCACATTAAGTAGTTCTGCTATATTCTTTTCACAATGACAGTCTCTGTAAAAACTTAAAATACATTGAGTACCAGGGGAACTCTGATGTGAAAATACAGCAATTATCCAAATATAAACCAATCTTCATTAAACATAAAATAAGATATTTTAAAATGAAAGCATTTTTTGTTGCGCAGTTTAGCATCATTTATATCCAACTTTCATGGATCAATGATAGGTCAAGTATAAACTAACATAAGTTTATTTTATTCTGTCTTTAGTAACTATAATTACTAACCTCTATTGTTTCTATCTTAATAAAATTTCTGGAAAATTAATATCTTCTCTTTAATTTTCAAAATTCAGTCTTTTTTTTTACTAGTCATAATAGCTTTTCCAAAGAACCCATGTAATTATAAATTAAGGACGAAACATTTAGGAGTTTAGTTTCCAGATGTTAACTTGCTAACTTACTCTACTTATTGTTGCCATTGGGAAATTGCTTTGGATGTTTGAAATAAATTTAAAATGTGAGTTTCTATCTTCTATGTGTTATATACTTCTTAACTGTCTGACTTGTGGGTATGTCCTTCTATTTTTCCTGCATTTTTTAAAATGAAAAATTGAGAAGTGACAGACTCTGGATATCCCCTGTGTGGAGGGAGGTGGTAATAGGTTGGGAGGCTGGGGAGGATGATGGGGGATGCAGGAGGAGGGGAGGGAGAGGCAGCTGGGATTGAGATGTGAAGCAAGCTCTTTTCTAAAAAATGTAATTTTTTTTTCTTGAAAAAAAATTGTGACTGTTTATGACTATTTACCTCCTGTAAGCCAGGCCCACTGGACGCAGTCAATTTACACAGGAACCAAAGTAGTGAACACTCAGGACAGTTCCCCTGTCATTTAGTTCCTGGAGATCAGTATGTGCATAGGATATAAAACTTATACTCACAGACTTGATTGCCAAGTAACTAGGTAGTTGGAAAAGATAACTAAAATGCTTGAGTATGAGACAACACAATTGTTGTGGCCCCCATTTAAGTTCGTGGAGTTCCTGACATGTACCCCTCACCACAAGGCTTTTACTATGCTCTTCCTTCTGCCTGGAAAGGCTTAGTACACACATGACAATTGGCATTAATGTTTACTTTTTTAACTGCTATTGTTTGAAGACTACTCTATATCAGTTCTACCATTGTAGCATCAAAAGACTTCAGCATCCTTTAAATTAATATGTAGTCACGAGAGATCCACAAATGCTACTGCCACTCACAATAAATCAGTGTCCACGATGGCTGAAGGTTATTCCCAATTTAATATTGTTTTTGTTTACCAATTGTTGATGTCATTAGTAAATGGAAGAAAATACCTAATCACTGGGAAAAGATTCTCTCCTCTGGACTACTGACCATTGTCTCCAGAGCTCATGAGGCTCTTCTCTGAAGTGGCATTGGTGGAGCTCACATTTATAGTGATCCATGGGTGAACAAGCCACTAGATTGCAATATTAGTGTGTCATTTCATTGTCAAAAATAATAACAATTAATTTTTTTATTCTTACTTTTTATAGCCTTCTCTGATTTCCTTCTGCCTACTTAAATTTAGCAACACACTGTTTCCAAGGTAGAATGGAAATCATTGTCTGGTACAGATGAATCTAGGAAACTTCCACTTAGGATGAGGAGGGAATTTAGAGGCTCTGTTGACATGGATGTCTGCTTCCTATGAAAGGCTCGGTGGAAAGATGTTTTCCCCTAAGATATATTCTGAAAATCCCTTATTAAAAAGATATTTTCTGAAAGCTCACACATAATTAAGATGAGTATAAGCCAACAGCTGTCCTAGTACCCTAAAAGGAAAGTCATAAATTCTTTGAATATGTCCATCTGCTGTATGTCATTTGCAAGCCTGGAAAAATAGAAAATCTATAATGGCCACTATTCAATTTTCCTTTTATTTTCTTCCCTCTCTTTTGCCAAGATAACCTTATTGTCTTGGGCACAGGAAGAGACAGATATAATGAATGTGAATCAATAGATGCAGTCATCCATCTCTCTCTTGACCCTAACTGACATGATGACCTCAGATGTTTGCTGCTTTGGATTAGAAGTGAATGGAAAAGTCCATCACATTAAGGAATGGAGTGGGGGGGAGAAACCTTTCCAGCATTGGGGAGATTTTTCACTGTTTCTAGAAAGTAGCATGATTTGTTCAGTCTTCACATGCACATGAGGGATGACATTTCATGGAAATACAGATTATGCTGTGTAGTGTTTTTCCAGTTACTGGAATGTTTGGATTTGCCTGAAATGCTTTAAAATTTGATTTCCAGCCTGACTTGAATATATTTCAAAACAATGTATTGGCTAAATAGCTTTCCAAATTTTCTTTTTTACTTAAATAGCACAAAAGTATACATCATGTGTTTAAGGTAAAAAATAGCACTCATATTTATTATTAAAGTATTTGAACTTTTTGGTTTTAAGAGGAACATCTGTACTATATTTATCTGTAACCTCAACAGTAGATTTCCCCTGCTGCACCTCACAAGCTCCCATAAAAATCCATAGTTAGAGGAACACCAGTTCTTAAATAAATAATCCTAAGGGAAGATACAATTATTTATATTCTTTTGAGTATAAAGATTATAGTTCAGAGATATATTAGTGTGGATTTATTTTTAAATTTTCACAAAATGATTTTAGTTTTTCATTTTCTTTTTATTATATTTTTGTTATTTAAAATAATTTTGAATTTAAATCTATTTTGATTATATTCTTCCCCTCTCCCAAGTCTTTCCAGATTCTTTCCACAAACCTACCCTCTCAATTTTAAGTTCTTAAAAAAAACTAACCCAGTAAAAGAAAACAAAGTACCCCCACCAAGAAAAACCCCACCAAACAAAAGCCCCCACAAAAAAACTGTGGAGTTGATTATATGTTGGTCAAGTACTTCTGAGCATGAGGCCTGTCCTGGATTGGATGATATACCCAGTGTCACCCTATTGATTATCAGTCCCAACATTCAGGATCTATGCAGCTAAAGTAAAAAAAAAATTAACACATAGAGTAAGAGTAAAGGTAGGAGTAGAATAAGTAGTTCAGCCTTTTTGTTGACCTTGTAACAATATAAGAAGTCAAGTAGAAGAATAAATATGAGATCAAAATTTACTAAAGACATTTGTTTGTTTGCTTGTTTCTGTAGACCTGTCTTACTTCGATAAAAGATCTGGTTGAAAAGAACATTATTATAGTTATTGGACTTGCTTTCGGACTGGCGGTTATTGAGGTACAGTATAATAGTTCATTGTCTCTGCGTTCATTCTACTTCTCACTGGTTGTAACAAATGTTATGGTAAGCCAAAGGAGGGTGCTTAAGAACTACAGGGTACACACAGGGTGCAGCATCTCTCTGAATCAGTCTTGATTCTGGAACAGGTAGTATAGTATTATAGTCCTATAAACCAAGAAGGACTGAGGCTCCTACTTCATTACTGTCTTCTTGTTTGCTTAAGAAAGAAATAAGATCTATATAATTCTTATTTGTAGGTATATTCCCTTTGGCATCAAAACTAGTACAAGTGTTAAAAATTTTTCTGAAGTAAGGAAAAGAGCAGGAAACAAAAGCAAAAACAAAAGTAAAAAAAAGAGCAACCATTTTTGTAGCCAGAATCTTGAAACAGAAAATAGAAGCCAAACTCAAAAGAGTGGGGAAATGTTTTGGTTTCCTTGGATTCTCTTCACTCAGATATTATAAATGGACTTGGTGATGTTTCCAGGAAAGCTCTCAGGTGGACTTGTGAAACGTTGCATCAATTTAATTATTGATGTTGAAAAATATATCCTTCATGGGATTTCTACCTTGAACTTTCTTGGGCATTTTGTTTTACAACCTGATGGATAACTTTTATGTGGTTTCCAAATATTTGTAAAGAAGATGGAATGAAACATTTTCAAAGGGGCATTTATGGAATTATCTCAGATCTTGAGAAATGTAGATATCAAATGAGTCAGAATCACTCAGGAGTGAATGTTAATACAGTAGCAAGAATGCAAGCACTGTGTGGTATTTCCCCAGTGATTGCAGCTAAGGACATTTGCTTCATTCTCATGGAATGCTGGGCAGTGTCCCCTTAGGCCCTCTGGTAGCTTTGCAGCCTCCTGTCACATAACTGCTAGGTCGAAATTTTGATTGAGATTATAGTAATTTAATGGTCTAAGTTATTACTTGTGGAATTTCTCAGTCACATATCAGAAAAGCCTGGATACTACCAGCATAAAAAAAATCACTCTTCTTATAGCCTAAATGAGTCAAAGTCACACGTTACTTGCATTAGGTCTGTTTCCTCTTGATTCTGCCATTTGCTCTGTGTCCTTTGATTATTTACTTTGTATTCTGGCTTCACACTACTTTAGAAATAACAGACAATAGCTGCAAAGATGAGTAAAGAATCACATATATACTCATGGTCATATAAACATATGGCACACGCACAGTTACGTTTTGACAGAGTTGATTTTAAAAGAATATGTAGCTTGGTGGTAGAGCATGAGGTTAATACGCTCAGAGACCTGGGTTTAATCACTAACTAACTAATTAAAACTGGGAAAGCAGGTTTTAAATGAGGTTAAGTATTAAATTTCATGTTAGACTCAAATTCAGAGAGTTGCCAATGACTGAATACAGCTCACACATACTTTCAAGAGGCTTGTTGAAGCTGAGCCAAAAGTAATAAGGACGTGATTGATTAGAAAGATTGGTGTCTTACATATCATTGCTAAAGTTATTGCCAAGAATCTAGATAGATCTAGAGAAATAACACATATCAATATTTTATGAATTTGGTATACTCCATATACTTGTCATACATTTAGGGACATTGTTAATTCTCCTATATGACTTTCCAGTGAAATATGTGAATAAAATACTTTATGTACAGTAATTTACCACTGAGGAGTTGGTATGGTATTGTCATAATGTGTAATCATTAGCGAGCCCAGTGAAATTGTGATGTCTCAACTATATGTAGATATAGTTAATAATTGATTGGCAAAATTGTTGGATATTTTTCTTTGATTTTTCAGTTTAGAGTTTGGTGTAAAAAAAAGTATTTGGTGCCTTATTTTAATTTTTTCAAGAGTTTTGCAAATGGCCCTTTGTTACCCAATCAGTAGAAATGTGCCTCCAAATAGGCTTTAGTCTTATAGAGTCATTACATAAATCTCTCAGCACTTAAATCTTTCTGACTTCCAAATTCAAGGAAACACAAAGATGGACAGAAAGAAAAATCTCTTCTTATAAATATTTCTAAGGAAATAGAAGCAATTCTCTACAGACCTAATGCAGAAAATATATGTAGACAGTCTTCTCAGAAAAAAAATCACGTTCCATATTTAGACATTAGGTGGAGGTTTTGTATCCTGGTGTATTAGAAACTCATATAAGATGCTCATACTTAATTCTGTGAAAAATCATCCGTGGAAGTTTGGAATCCTTATTTAGACTTAAATAGGCAGATTCTTATTATTATTAAAAAGTGGTCAGTACTTCGTGGTTTTACTTTCACTAAACAAATGTTATTGAATGACATGGAATAGTTGTCAAAAGGACAAAAGCTAACCTCACAGGAAGTCCTAGGAACAAAGCAATTCAGAGAAATGGTCATTTCACCACATTTTAAAAAACAGCTCTGGCATGTGGGAGTCTAGGATTAAACACCCAGCAAGACGTTCGTTGTGAGTCTTTGTCCACACATCATAAAATGTTGACTCTCCTTTGTGCTTTTCCAATCATAAATGCTCTTGACAGACATAAAGAAATGAAAGAAGGGTGAGGCTAGTGATAAAACGGTGATATAACTACCATTTGAAAGTGTTTCATTAAATTCTTCAATCTGTGCTCAGTACAGATGGAAATTGCCAATCCCCACTCCCCCTCCCCATTCTATGTGTCCTCTGAAAAGGGGCTGGGGCAGAGAAAGGTGCCATTTGCTGAGTCATCTTAAACACTCCTACTCTATCATTCCTACATCAAAACCAGAGCATTCAAGTCACCAACTGCAGAGTCAATTAGAGTCAGTTTGGAGGCTCTTTACTCGCGGAAGAACTAATGAGATGGAATTCACGCCCTAGATTTTCAATTGTATTTTGTGACTTCAAAAGAAAATTCCTGAGTTAAGCTATTCCCCATAGTTTACAAGTGCTTTTTTTTCTTCTTCTTCAAAAAATGTACATAATTTTTTTTCACTTCTAAGCATTGCCTAAAACTTCAGTAGGAGAAATTCTAGACTCCTTGATTTCTATGCAGATGATCCAAACCAGATGACCATGGTCTTGCAGTGGAATCAAGAAGTATATTTAGCTCCTGAAGGCTGGTGGTACCCAGAGCTCAAAGGCAAATGCTTTCCAGAAAGATGTGTGCATACCACAAGGGGAGAGCATCCTGTAATAGCCAATACTACACAATGAAGCAGGAACACACACACACACACACAGAGAGAGACAGACAGACAGACAGACAGACAGAGAGAGACATAGAGACAGAGAGACAGAGAGACAGAGAAAGACAGAGAGAGACAGAGAGAGACAGAGACAGAGAGATGGAGACAGAGAGACAGAGACAGAGAGAGACAGAGACAGAAATAGAAATCTGTGCTCTGTCTTCAGTATTGTTCTGTTCCTCAGGAGTATAATTTCTCATGAGAGAATCAGTAGAGAGTTTCTGTCATGTGTGCCCCCTCCCCCCATAAGTCTTTGAATTCCACACACTAATCCTGTGTTTTATTTCTAGATTCTTGGTTTGGTGTTTTCTATGGTGCTGTACTGCCAGATTGGGAGCAAATGAATCTGAGGATTTACCAAGTTATTATAAACACCATTTAAGTTTTTGCTTTGGCTTTGTAACTTTAAATAAGTGAGTACTGTAAATATCAGTAAAAAATGTCTTGTTCCAATGTCTTGCCTAGGTAGACTGCAGATATCCTCACACGAGTTCAGCATATTTAAATCTAATGGGCTTAAGAAAACATGAATGTGTATTTTTTTTCTCAAAATAAAAACAGTGTTTACATTGATGCTTCTTTGGTGTCTGGTCATTGTGTTCAGGTGGACCTGAATCTACACAGTGGAATAACTTCCTTTCTAAGTGACAAGAGAATAGTAGGACAGTGAATCTGTGATTTTTCAAAAGTTCGTTTCATCAGGTGTATCGATGACTGATGATATTTTTTCAAGTTGAAATGCTGGAGAATGATCCAGCTGTGTAAATCACCGTCTTTTTTTATTTTTATGGTATCTGTGTTTTGCTTCAGAGTACTATAAGTGCCAACAAACAAACAAACAAACACATAAATAAATAGGAGTGCCCATATCTCACTAAGGTCCATGGCATCCCTCTGGATTTTCTTATGGAACACAACAGATAAAACTGAAATTTCTTTGCACACCAAGTTGCTCCCTGATGCCATCTCCCAATCGTGGCAGTTACAGTAGAGAATTCATGTTTGTATTTCTTTGCATGTTTATTCACTAGGGTCTGCTGGAGCTTACAATTCATCATGGTCGGAGTATTTGCTCCTGGACATTGGAAACTGCCATGTCAGGGCTTCAGATTTGAATAGTTATAGAAGCATGTATCAGTACACTGACTCACTTAGATCCAGACACCATAAAGATAAAGAGATGGTGATTTACATAGAACAATAACGATTGTTCTGACTCTTGTGACCATAGATCAATTTTCCTGCTCTTCAACTTCCTCTCGGCAGAATCAGAAGCTGTTCATTCTGGCTTTTTTTTCTTGGCTTTTTGTCTGTGGATCTATATTGTTTCAGATAAGTGTAGCTTAATCTCATTGCTACGTAATAGTCTGTTGTATATGGACATACTACAATGAATTGATCCATTCTTCTGTTGATGGGCATCCAGCTATACTTCTACAATAAAGCTGATAAAAACATTCTTTTACATGTCCTGAGCTACCACTATGACTACTACTACTACTATCACATACACACACACACACACACACACACACGCATATATATATATATATATATATATATATATATATATATATGCATGTTTGGAATTTCTTTGTACACATGTATTAAGAACTAATTAATTTTGTCAAGACATTTTCTAAAGCAGCTGTGATTATTTGTTCTCATACAAGAAAAATATGGCGAACTCATCCTGCACCTTTGTGTGGGAAGAAAACCACAGAAGGCAATTATTGTTCAACTGCTCAAAGTGACAGTAAACAAATAGAAAACTTGGTGTATCCCTGCTGGATTGAACACCTCTATTCTGTGCTTCCCTCATCAATGATAAAAGTCACAGTTCTTCTGTGGAGCTGTGTCATCTGCCAAGACCTTTACATTTAAACTCTGCATTTATTATCTCAATTCTTCCCACACATCTCTATGAAGTAGACCCCCATGAGTACCCCCATTTTCAGGTGAGACAATGAAGGCTTAGAGAAGTTGTGTACCTTGCCCATGACTCAAATGATTAGTAATCGGCAGAAATGAGATCCAAGCTTTGACTGTGGCCTCCCAAACTCTACTCATCAAGTTGGCCTCCCGATAATATACTATCTACAGATTTGACTATTTTTATAGTCACTGTTTTGTTTGTTTCTGTTGTATACTGAAACTCTTTGAAGACTTCATTTCTTATTTGTGTTTGTATTTGTGTTCTTATTAAGCAGTGGTTAGCACTGAACTGGAACAGAATAAATTATAGCTAAAAGTTATAGATTTACTGAGCATTTATTCAGTCTTGAAATATGGCCCAAACACTTTACATAGAACAACTCTCTTATGTTGTTGCTGTTCATAGGCCCATTTTCAAACAAGGAAACCATGGCCTAGGGAGACTAATTTAGGGCACACAGGTGGTAAGCAAAGGAATTGTGACTGGTTCCAAATGACCCAGAATCTGCTTTTTATGTCATAGCATCTAAAGTACTTGCGATCATTTATTCTCATACGAGATAAATATGATAGATTCATTCTTTTCTGAGCATGAGGGGAACGAAGGAAGGCAGTTACTTACAAAAAACCCATCTTACAATGATTTTTATATTTTTATATTGAAGAAAAGAGTCAAGAAAATGAATATTGACATTTATTCTGCATAATTTCAGGCACATAATAGGAAATCGATAAATATTACATTGTCTTGATGATACAAAAATCAGCCAGACTCCGTAGGAAAACAAAAGCCCTCCAGCCCCTTCGAACAATAAGGGATAGAGCAAGAAACTGATGTATTGGGCACTGTGTGCTGCCGTAACTGAAGAGACCGACTGAGTGTTTTAAATGGCAGAATTTCTTAGATTTCTGGAAGCTGAGAATTCTTAAGACCAAGCTGCTGGTGAATCCAGTCTCTGGTGAGGGCTCCTCTCTGCCCTGCAGACAACTCCTTCTTGCTGTCCTCATGTTGGGAAGGGGGATAAAAAGGGGTGGAGAGCATGTGGTCCGGTATGTGACGTGGGGAAAGTACACACAGTCACATGGAAATGTGAGGTAATCAAGAGATCAGCAGGAAGAAGACACTGCCAGCTTATGTAGGAGCAAAAGATGGGGATAGCGCTGAGATCCAGGGTTGTGTGGTAGAAGATGGAACCCAGAGAGGGGCCACAGAGCATGCATTTGACTAACAGGATTAAGACACAGCACCATGAACTTGCTTCCATCCCAGCAACCCCATTCTTTTGCCGTCTCTCCACCCGCTGAATCCACCTGCAAGCCAGACAAGAGAGCTGGGAATAGGGCAACCAATGTTCGGGCAGAAATGGGAAAGATGATCATAACAAAGTCAGATTTCAGGAAAAGGCACACAGGGGCTCAACTCTTTGAGAAAAGGGCACAGACACGATGAAAATAATAACGAAGAGATTTTAGAATCTGTGGGAGAAGTTATGCAGTTTCTCCCATATTTTTTTTTGGTTGGTTAAAGTTGATGGTATTTAAAGGACAGAGAAGACTTGAGGCAATGCTCTCAATTGGGGTCATAGGGGATATCTGTCAATGTCTGGAGACAGTTTTGGTTTTCAGCATTGTGGGTGGAGGAGGGTGTTACTGGCATCTGGTGAGCAGAAGCTAGGAACACTGTCACTCTCTACAGTGCACTCGAGCTTGTCCAACAGCTAAAACCATCCAGAGCAAAATGTCAGTCATGTCGTGCAGGGTGGAGAGAGGCTGAGTTGACAACCATCTGTGACAGATAGCAGCAGCAGCAGCAGCATGGAGCCTTACCTGGAGACAGTCTCCAATGCATGCCTTACAGGAAACTAGATCCGGGCAGAGCGCAGCATGGAGCCTTACCTGGAGACAGTCTCCCAATGCATGCCTTACTGGATCCGGGCAGGAGCTCTGACAGCTTGTTAGCTTGTGACCTTCATGGAGCCTTACCTGGAGACAGTCTCCAAAGCACACCTTACTGGATCCGGGCAAGAGCTCTGACAGCTTGTTAGCTTGTGACCTTCATGAGTCTCCTGAATTTCCTCTTCTTTAAGTGACAGCTTTTATCAGGAAGACATTAAGATTTCCAGACATTACTCTGTTTCAGCTTCTGAAACATGTCCAGGCTTCTGCTTTGGCTGTTTTAAAACATTTATTTTCTTTTGCTAATCTGCTTGCTTTTTATGTTTGGTTTTTTTTTTTGTTTTTCTTTTTCTTTTTTCTTTCTTTCATTTTTCCCCCACTCTGGATGTGATTACAGGGGAAGCTTTTACTTCCCCAAATGATGTTAAATTCTGATTTAAGAATAAATTCATCTCTTATTTCTTGCCTCAGTGATCAAATCAGAATATTATAAAATATATGAAATGTTTTAATCACTAAGAATCATGTCAAGAACAAAATAAAAAGAATTTCCTCCACTAAACTATTAATTCAATGAAAATGGAAATGTTTCCCCAATTCAGAGTATAGGTATTTTTGAATATGTTTAAGATTATACGTGGTGCTAATTTGGATACATGAAATTCAAATGAACGCTTGGACATGTTTCTCCAACCTACTCACTTCTCTGTTTCCCTTCACTACCATCCTATTTTCATGATCTCTCCTGACATAAAATTACTGTAATAGTCACCTCTTAAAATACTTCATTGATTTTTCATTTGTGCATATGTGTGTGCATCTGTTCAGGTGTGTCCATGGAGGACTAACATGGGCATTGGGTTCCCTGGAGATGGAGTTCCAGGTAGTTATGAGCTGCTTGGTATGAGTGTTGGAAACTGAACTCTGTTCTTCTGCAAGCGCAACAAGCACTCTTAACTACTCAGCCCTCATTCCAGCCTCATTGCAATAATCTCTCAATAGGCTTTTCCACAGTTACTTTACATCCCTCATATTTATTGACTTGGGTTGCACTGGAGCTATCTGCCTGGAATACAAGTGGTACTATGTTATATTGTGTGCTCAAGTTCTAGGATATGTTTATGGTCACCTGCAATTTATAAAGTTCTTCATCAGAGCCAAGTCCATCCTCCCTGGTCTTCTCCAGGCTCTTTTCTGTGTATACCCTGCAAGCCTTCCCATCTTTGCCTGGTCCCCACACTGTTGGCCACCATCATATCATTTAGCTGTATATCATGAGGTCTAACTGGAGTGTCAGCTTCCTTGTGGTGCATTTCTGGGTCCAGTCAAGACTGAGTTAAGTTTTCCATTTAAATACATAAGTCCTCATATGTCTTAGCTACTTTTAGTATGTATTTAATTATTAGATTTTTATGACACCTGGGAACCTGAATTGAACTTGTGTAACAGATCCTAGCATGGTAACTAGAACACATTAACAGCTCAGTCAATATATGCAGTAATTGTTATCACCTGGTTCATTCCAAAGAACATAGTTATGCTGAATTTGAAGATGGTTCATTGAAGATCAGTGTTTACTTACAATGTGTATACATATACATATTTATACACATACATACAGCTAGTGTACAAGGTAACATATATATTATGTTAATATTACATATTCTCTACTATGTATATAAAATATTCTTCATAACAATTCTCTCATTAAAGCTATTCTTAGTGTTCAGAGGAGGAAACTG